TTAGTTTGTTGGGAGCTTTTTTGGAAGAGTAATTGAGCAAATGAAGTTAAACGACGGAGTTTTAAACAAAGAATTAAAAATAAAAAATATAGAAAAACAGTAAGTTTGGTGTTAGGTTGCTATCTTATCTTTTATCATTAAATTGGAGGAAGAGCAGATTTGGTCAAAAATAAAATCTATTTAAAATTTATTTAGCTAATCGAATCAGATTAAAATAATCATTAATTATAGGTTAATTACTATTAATCATTTAATTAGATTCTGAATAGAAAAAACCGAGCTCCAAAATATTTTTTTCTTCCAACTTTATATAATTAAATTTTATACACTAATTGGTTTCTTCCATTTTATTTTATTTTATTTTTCTCTATAGAAATTATGGATTTCAGTCTTTAATGTAATACTATTACATATATTTTTAATAATAAATTATGTTATTATTGTTATATAAGTAATTTTTATTTAATAAAATATTTGGGTTTTTATGTTTAGTGGGTATGTATGAAATACATCGGAATTATATTGCTTAATTAATCTTTTTATATTATACGTGTTGATTAAATAAATCGAGTGGTGATTAAAAAAATAAGATATCAATCTAATTAAATATTATTGAAGGAATTTAAAAATCAAGTTAATTTTTTTTTTATATAAAAAAGCAAGTGTGTGGAAATCTGATTATCTCTTTAATTTACATGTCAGCATCTATAAATGGGAGACAGCACAAGTGTGTGTGTGTGTGTGTGTGTATATATATATATATATATATATATATGATGAGTAAATTTCAAGTTTATTTTTAGGTTTCATGGTTTTCACTTTATCTCAATTTAATTTTTTGTGATAATTTAATATTTCATTTTTTATTTATTTAAAACACGTTTCAAGATCATAATTTAATATTTTTCTCATAAATTATTTAATTTTAATTTGGGATAATTTTTTTTTTTTGCTGTGTTTGTTTCAAAAAAATTTTGATTTTTTGAATTTCTTTCTGCTTTATATGAAATTAATAATTTTATACCATCATCGTATTTTTTATTTTTTAAAATAAGAGAAAATGAATTATGTAATTCTCAAAAATATTTGTGTAAATTAAATTATAATAAACTTAAATTACGAAAATAAAAACGAATTTATCGTATTATATTAAAACCAAATATGGTACTTAGAATTTATTACTAAATTATAATTAATATAATCCAAATATATATATATATATATGGTTAAGTAATTTTGTCAACTTATGAATTAAGGTAGTTGGGTTTTGATCACCTGCACCGCCTACTTTCATCCGCATGTATTCTTATGAAATGTCGTCCCCCTACCTCAGATCTTCTTGTCTAATAAACACGATTTTCATGGTTGATCAAACTCTACTTCTTTAAGGAAAATAAATTAATAAATGAATTTCCTATATATGTAGATGTTGATTGTGTGTTGTTTTTGTTTGATTCCTTGGCCACACATGCGTATGTATATATATATATATATATATATATATTATGTACAATTATATATTAAAGTTATAAATAATTAATATTCTTTTTATAAGTAGTGTAGATAAATTTATAAATTCCTTGACATATTATGAAATTTTTTTTATAATGCTCTTTAAAAATTAAATCTAAAATATAAATGACTTTTCTTTTATATTTACACTTTATTTAACGTGATAATATTATTTTAAATTTTAATCTTATATTAAAATTAATAATTTAGTTGAAGTAGCATAAAAAAAATATAATTAAATAAAAATAAATATGAGTTCTTAGTTAATGTTTGTATTCGTAATTGAAAAAATAAGGATTTTGTTAAAACGACATAAATTTTTTTTCCTTTCTAAATATACTTAATAAAAAAAATTAATTACTTTTTTTATTTAAGTCGTGCATGTAATAATAACCATTAAGAAATAAAAAAAATATATATGTATGTAATTATGATAGTTTTTTATTTTTTAAAAACTGAAAAATAATATAACTTATAATTTATAGACTAAATTAATAATTTTTCAAAAAATAAATTAAATTGATAATTTACCATAAAATATTATGCAAATCAAGATGGTTTGTTCGGAGCCCAGAAAATGAAATAATAAAAAAGACCTATACTCAAACTTTACTCTTTGGGTTCACATGGGCCGGCTAGGATACAAGGCCCAATATCTAATTTTTTTTTTAAAAAAAATTACTTATAAAATAATATTATATATTTAAAATATATTACCAACAATTTTTAATATAATAATATACATATAGAATAAAAAATATATTATTTATATTGCTATCTATGATTTTTATACTCAATTTAATATATTTACCAAATCGAACAAGCTACATAACCTTCTCATGGCCGAATGGACTGGTTTAATTTAATTTTTTAATAAATATGATAAATTTACACTTCAATCAATTAAGAGATGATAAAAATTTTATTTTAATATATGATTTTAAAAAAAAATTGAGTTTGTATGTATTTATGGTTGTAGTTAGCCACCTATTATTTCAATTTTATTTATGGTTATAATTAGATAAATTTGAAATTTGAATAGAATAATTATTTTAATTAAAAAAAATTCGTGAAAGTCCTAGTAAACAAGATCAAGTGTGAATTTACAAATTAATTGTATACAAATTTTGGATTAATTATTTCAAAGGTAGTGTAAAAATATTATTTTATTATTGTGAAAATTTAATCACTTTATTATAAATTGAATAAACTTTAACAAAAACTTAATAAAATAATAACAACATTGAAATTTTATTAAGTTTTGGATTTTAAATTTAATTTTTGGGTCACATATGAAAGATGCCCTGAGTACAGTAAGGAAGAGACAGGGTACAGTAAAAGAATTGGTAAGAGTACAAATGGCAAGCTGGGTATTTTCTGGAGTCAAAATCGAATCTGATGGTTTCCATGTTAAAAACGTTAAGGCGGTGTGACAGGTTAGTGTACTTTGGCTTTTTTTACACACACACACATATATATATATATATATATATATAAAGCTACCCTAGCTTATACATATATATATATATATATGCGTGTGTTTGTGTATAGCTACGTATTAAAAAAAAAAAAATCGAAGATAACGATTCTCATTCTGGCATATGTCACGTTTTTTACCAGAGCCAATAAGCATACAGGACAAAGCCTAGGAGGTGATATAATAATTTGGTGTATCTATTTTCAAAGCTATTGCAGGCTTTTTCGCCTTCTGCAATCTGAAATTTTCAAACTTTCATTCTTTCAACAACAATACATATCCACTCTACAAGTATCAGTATACTGTTTCATTTGTCCATTTCCTTTTGTTTAAGTATTAGTTACTAAATTTCATCTAAAGTATATACATAAAGTTAAAACGGGTATATGTAAATATATATATATATATATATATCAGATCCTTGTTTAAATTTGATGTTTTTCTAGTAATAAAAATAAAAAGAGTCTTAATTTTTATTTACGTTTATTTTTTTTTAGAAATATGTATTTTGAATGTTTTTGAAAAAATTTTCAGAAATCATATACAAACTGTAAATAAGATAAAGAGTACAATTGAAAGAAATCTAAAAAAATTGGATTACTTTGCAAATTAAAA